CCCTATTCCCACTGAAGAGGTTCAAACGAGTGGGACAGGCACCTGGAAATTTTATCTTATGGCCGGTTTCATTAACAAGACCCATCCCGACACATGCACAGGTTGATTTATGCATTGAACGATAGTACTTATTATTTTTTGATAGGTTGATGTATATTAATGTTATTGATTTTTGGTACTTGTATAGAAAGAGGTTGAAAAAGCAAAGGAAGTTGTGCATGAATCACCACCACCACCATCCGCTTACAGCGAGTCGGTGCACTGGCAGCGACTATCGGGACCACTTCCATACGAGTTAGATATGCCACCGAAGTCCTATGCGGGACCAAGACGATCCCTTTTTCTTACTCCAAAGGGATATTTTTGATATTCTCACTGGTATCTGATATGCTATGTGTATCGGTGTTGCAGCTTTAGGAAATGTAAGTATATTTACATATTTTTTATATTCTCACTGGTACATTATTTTATAACTTTATTTATTTTCAATGTTGAAGGTATTTACATCGTTTGTGTGTTGAGAGGAAGATCCGCTTTCTCTATGGATTTCTTGACCCTGTTGCCATTCGATCAGTTGGGAATAAAGCTGAAGAGGTGCAAACGTACTTAATAGAGACATTTTAAACTGGGGGCAAAGAAGTCTACTTAGCACCTTACTTGCATAAGTAAGTATACATCTTATAAATTAATGCACATTTATGTAAAACTGAAATTTTATTAATATTATTTCAACGTGCAGGAGTAATTGGCAGCTCATAATCATTGTTCCTCGACAATTTCTTGTGATTCTCTTGTGTTCATTACACAAGAAACCAAATGATTTGGATATTAGAAAGCACATAGACGCGTAAGTTTGGTTTTTTTAATTGTTGTATCATATGTGCACTACTTACACCAAAATTATTTGTCCTTTTGTAGAGCTTTGGAAGCTCACCTAAGGTTGCAAGACCTTCCATCTCATGCTAGAAAGAAGTTGACGTATATTGCACCAAAGGTGACCAAACACCTCTTCTTGTTGTTCAATTTGTCATTTAAAGTTAATCTGACATGTATTTAACTTGTAGTGTCCACGCCAACCGGAAGCCATGAGTGCGGGTATTATGTGATGAAGCACATGCACACCATCGTAGCCAAAAATATTATGGGCTCATGGAGGGAGGTAAATATACTATAATTAAGTCAAATATGCCAATTATGTAAATGATTTCTAAATCTAAAATGTTTCAATATGTAGGAATTTACAGACTCATCTCCAATGAAGATTGAAGTGTTAGACGATATTAGAGAGCAGTGAGCTTCTTTCCTTTTAAGTATTCAATCTTCATAACAAATTTGACTTGTAACAATTTAGATTGAATTGATTTAAGTTAGCAAATTTACATTCGTTTAAGTAAATGAACTATCTAGAACTGAGGTACATATATTGATTTCAATATGTTTCATATGTACATATCTGTCTATGACTTGGATCTGTCTCGTATTGGATATATATCTGTAGCAAATTTATATATGAACTGTGCATATCTGTCTGTACTGGATCTGTGAATATTTGTCTGGAACTGTGATGAATAGGCAGGTCTACTCGAAGAAAGGTAGCATCTGTAAAGAAAATGCAGATATTTTGAAAAAAAAATAACACTTTCTACGTCGGTTATAGGCATAACCGACATTGATAACACATACAATCACGATTACTGTTAACCAGATATAGATACTTGGGGTTATAGAAAGTTAGAAAGTAAGACTTTCTATGTCGGTTATAAGTTTAACCGACATAGAAAGTAAGACTTTCTATGTCGGTTATCGTGTTAACCGACATAGAAAGTATTATGACAGTCGAGAATCGGTTATGATCGATCAGAATAGCTCTATGACCGATCAGAACCAGTTATGACCGATCAGAATAACTCATAGAAAGTAAGACTTTCTACGTCGGTTCCCTGACTAACCGACGTAGAAAGTCTTTCTATGACCGATCAGAACCAGTTATGATCGATCAGAATAACTCTATGACCGATCAGAACCAGTTTTGACCGATTATAATAGCTCATAGAAAGTAGGGCTTTCTACGTCGGTTCCTAATAACCGACGTAGAAAGTCTTACTTTCTACGTCAGTTATTAGGAACCGACGTAGAAAGCCTTACTTTCTATGACCCCCGTATCTATGTCGCCGCTTTAACCGACGTAGAAATCCCATTTTAACCGATGTAAAAAGCCTTTTGTGCAGTAGTGAATAATATACTTCCCATTGCTTTTGCAATTGTTGAAGGTGAAACTGCAGATGCTTAGTTGTTTTTCTTAAAAAACCTAAGGAGGTAGTATACTTCCCATGTGGTTGCAGCATGCAAACATACTCACCATGATTATGAGATGTACATCAATCTTGTTTACAGTTTGGATTTAGTCAACAAAGTGTATGACAATTTGTTTGGGGAGCTTAGGCACGAAGATTATTGGTTATCATATCAAGGCCCACAACTTTGCCCCAACCCAACAACAAGAAGTTCTAAGGGTCGTCCAAAGTCAACACGAATTAGGACTGAAATGGATATCTGCGAAGAAGATCACAAAAAAAAAATGCTCCTATTGTCACACTCCAGGTCACACAAGAAATCATTGTCCACATAACCCTGGCGTTAGAGGATCAACTTCTCGTGGATAAATCTATTGTAATTTTGTAATATGACATTATAATCATTAAATAAATAATTATTCCACTCATTTGTGATTTTTTAACTTGTTTATTCATGTTTAGTTGCTTATTCACGTTTCATTGATTTAATATCTAAAATATCACTTCACTTTAATTCAAATAGTATATCTTACTCAAATTATCTAATTAAAATTTTTATTTATACAGAATTTTAACAAAATATTTGTACCAAACATATTAAAATATAATAAAAATATTTATATATTTTTATAAAAGAAATATTATTTATACTTAAAATATATATATATATATATATATATAATTTATTTATGTTATTATGTATATAGAAAGATATAAATATATATTTATTAAATATATAAATATACATGTATTTATTATATTTATAAAAAGATAAATAAATATTTAAATATTATATATATATATTAAATATATTTGTATATATTATATTTATAAAAATATATTAATAATATAATTATATAAATATATTTTTATGACATGTAAAAAAAATATTTATATTGATTTGATATAATTATATAAATAAATTTAAAATAATATATATATATATATATATATATATATATATATATATATTTAATATATTAATACATAGCGTTAGTGCATTCGTTTTCTTGCTGCTGCCGTTTTCTTGGTGGGTAGTCGAATGAAGGTCTTAGAGATGGGACTCGGGGCCGAAATAGGCGGAAAGAGGTGGGTTTAGCACCGCTTTTCCAGTTCGATAGACAAGAGAGGGGATTTGGTCCTCGGAGCTAGACAATGGAAAAGAAGGGTTAGACGCACATCAGAAGCAGTAGGTTAATAAAATTGAATTGCCTGAGAGACATATTCAGAGAGCTATGAATTTGAAGATTCTGACTATTTTATTTGAAATGTTTGACTTAAAAAAAAGAGTGTAATAATCGTATAAATAATACTATTTATAAGTATTGTATTTTATATATGAAAATTTATGTTAAAAAAGAAAAAAATCCCCATAAGTATTCCGATCTGAGAGGTTAGGGTCCATGTCAGATGTTTGGTTCGACTCTCAATAATTTTGTCTACACCATGAGATACATGGGATGTGACCATAAAACTTTTGAAACCTCTTCTTGACCTGGTAGCAACAGTGACAACAAAATTAGGTTACCATGTAGCAAATCACTCCTACATAAATAAAGGAACACGAAAACTCATCCTTTGGTTATTCTCCGGTGGGCTCGTTCTTTTGTGTGCCAACGAGAAACTTATTTTCTTTTCGAAGTTGGAAAAATTCATACTTCATCAAGATAATTCTACCATTATCTAGTTTTTGTTCATTTTGGTTCAGCACGTGCAAGATCTTTCTATCTTCAAACACACTTCAACCATAAAACGTTTTCTACATATATACGTGATGTAGTGTAAAGGCTAGGTCTTAGACTGGACTTGGGTTGTATAAAATCTCTCTCAATGTTACTTCACGATGCAGCACAAGAAAAATAAGCAAAACCCAAAAGGCGGTTATGTTATCTAATAGAAAAAGATTGGCACAATACTAAAAATTTATTTGGGAACCAAAAGATTATCATTATATAAACAAAGTCAATGAACCACACCACTTAAAAGTGTGTTAATGGAGATACACTAACAACTTAAGTGGTTAATTACCTAATAAACTTCACACTCATGAGGATAATATAATTGAACAAGTGTGGACTTTGATCATTGTCAACCCATGATTTTGTTTTTCTGACCTAGAATATTCATAATATTTTCTTTGTCAGACATGTTTTTCCGGCACAGAATGTTGCAAGGAACATAAGTGAGTTGCATGACACCTCCTCGCGAATCACGTGGATACACAAATATGTCAACTGTTAACAAATTATTGGTTGACTTTGACAAATTGTCACATCGTAATACCGGTTATTAAATTAATAATGAATATAAAATCTCCTATTTCCATATGTAAATAAAAGAAAAAACAAAGCTAGATGTTTCACATTTGACTATGATTTTATAAACTCCGTCTAAGGATTAATTTATGCTATGATCGGCCAAAAAGATAATGCAGCTAAACAAGTGGATGAAAATCCAAGTTTCTGCAGCCAAAAGCGTGCAAAGGAAAAAGGAAATTTACAGATCCAAGATTACAGCATTAGAGGCGTACGAATCAAAGCAACAATACATAAATGTGCATACAATATTATAGTTGACCACGACGTAGTTGTATCCGCCAAAATATTCATCAGCCTATATATATATATATACCAAACAAGAACACTTTCATAGCCAAATTCAAAGCAATAGTGCATAACCAAATTAAGTTTCTCTTCTCTCCCCAAAATGGCAAGTTATTTTAGATTTTCAAAAGCTTTGGTTATGCTAGGGTTAACTTTCATAGTGTTCACACAGGCACGATCACAACCATGGTCATTGCTCCAAGCACCAAGAGACCTAGCCCTTAAGCTTATTCGTGACCCTGTTACTCTTTCACTAGCCTCAACTGACTTTGGCCACATAGTTCATGACAACCCTTTTGCAATTTATGCCCCATCGTCCATTAGTGACATCTCCTTGCTGATAAATTTCTCGAATTCTCTTCCCATCCCTTTCACCATAGCTCCTAGAGGGCAAGCACACTCTGTTAATGGACAAGCCATGACAAGCGATGGGGTTGTGGTGAACATGACTGAGTTGAATGCGTTTAGAAACGGGGCTGGGATTGTTGTGGTGTCTGATGGCACAGCAAGTGCTTCATATGCTGATGTGGGTGGAGAACAGATTTGGATTGATGTGTTGCATGCAACACTTAAGAGTGGACTCACACCACTCTCTTGGACTGATTACTTGTTCTTATCGGTTGGTGGAACTCTCTCCAATGCTGGGATTAGTGGCCAGACCTTCAGGTTTGGTCCTCAGATTTCCAATGTTCATGAATTGGATGTTGTTACAGGTATGCAGCATATATTAATATTCTCTTCCCAGCTAATATATAACTTCTCAAAACAAATTTCTTTAAACCTTATGATAATTCTATTAACACATTTCAAATTCAAAATAATTAAGATGAAAAGGTTGAATTGAAAATTTTACAATCTAAAATTAATAATGCCCCGATGATAAAATCTGTGTAATTGATCAATTTATTCAAATGAAATTATAATTATTTACTTTCTTGCCGGGTTGTTTGATTTTTATACGATTTTATTTAAATAAATATAACTTAATAGTCAGAATGATAACAAATAATATTTTAGACTATTAAATAAAATAATACTGTCAATGTACTAAACGATTCATCTTCTCTATCCTTTTCTCTCTGAATATATATATCAACTAAAAAAATTGGGGAAGGTTCAAACAAAATGTCTACTAGCATCTCATATATACGTCAAGAATAAAGGAACACACATGTAATAAATAGTTCTTCTATATGACTATCCATTTTTTTAAATTTGATAAATACATACATCCTAAGACTAAGAGACCTCTTGAACATCATAGGTATATTATTAAAAATAAGTCAGATGAATGGGTTTTATTAAATCTTCTCAAAATTCAATGTAACATGTTGATTAAGCTAATTTGATTGGTCACATCATATCTTTACAGAAGATTTTTATCTTGTCTCTTTATGACGTATGAATTGACCATGTAATTGAAAAATTGATGTAGGTTATGAGATTTAGTAGTTCTTTCGGAATTTGCTAGGTTCAAAATCTTATGATATTTAGTTAAAGCTTATCTCTTTATTTACAGCTTAGACATGTCCATCCTCAAAGATAATTAAAATATATGTACTCTAACAGAAAATAAGAACTGTCTATTTTTTCTAGGTAATATTTTTGTTGTTATTTATTTTGAAAAAGAAAAGAAAAGAAAAGGGATTATATTATAACCAAAACGACAGAAAAAAGTCCTTGGCTTTCGATTCTTCTCTATTATTGTAATTTAATTATTTTCTGTGTGCTACTTTGTTTATAATTGATTCCTTAACAGTCTCATGAAATCAAACCAACAAATAGACATGAAGTATATATATATATATATATAAAATTAAACAAAGTGTGACATCATCATATATTTACCAAGATTCCATATCAATCAATGATTACATCAAAGATAGACTGCGACATGAAATATTATACACTGTTTATTATCCTATTCGACCGGCTTGGATTGTATAAGATAATTTGTTTCGACCAATGTTTTGGTCTTAAATAAGTCATCACCCAGAAAATTAATTGTGAGCACGCACCCTTGCTTCTCCTTCTCAAATATTTTCCATTTTAATGAATAAAAACTATCTCTTCAAATTGACAAGTGTAGTTTATTATTCCCTGCTTAATTTTGGGAAATTCTTCTTTAACAAGTACAAGTCAACTCTGTTGTAGAGTTTTAGGTCTAAGAAACAAGGAAAACATCTGCTCCTGAATTTTTGATTTTTGCCATTTGGTAGTCTGGCAAGTTTACTCAGTATTAATTTATTCAATCAGTGGCTTACATATTTAATAGGTGTGGTAAGACTGAGACAATCGAAAAATAATTTTTCAACTTGTAAATAAATAATTATAAACTAAATTGAATGTATATAATCTTGAATCATATATATATATATATATATATATATATATATATATATATATATATATATATATATATATATATATATATATATATATATGATTTCAATGTTTTTCTTTCTCTTTTTTTATGTACATTTTTCCATTGGGTACACTTGATACACATGTTTACACTTGGTTGCGACAGGGAAAGGAGACCTAGTTACATGTTCTGCAGAGAAGAATTCAGAGCTGTTTTATGCCGTTCTAGGAGGATTAGGTCAATTTGGGATTATTACTAGGGCAAGAATAGCACTTGGACCCGCACCAACTAGGGCAAGTATTATCTTCTTCCATTCATTTATTTATTTTATAATTCAGATCTTGTTGCATTGTCAAACCCACCAATTAATAAGTGATTATCTGAAAGAATATCCTTGTTTACATGCCCAAAACAAAGAAAAATGTTGACAGTAAATTACCATTCTTCAATATTATGCTTAATGAATAAAAAATCATCTGCCTAATCACTTGCAGGTGAAGTGGGTCCGTTTGCTTTACAACGATTTTTCTGCATTTTCTGGAGACCAAGAACACTTAATCTCGTTGAATGGAAGAAACGAGTCTAATGCTGCTGATTATATAGAAGGTTTCCTTATGCTAAATCAGCCACCACTGGACCTTTCCTTTTTTCCAGCACCTGATCAACCTCGTATAACTTCCCTTGTAACACAATACGGCATCATCTATGTCATAGAGCTTGTCAAATATTACGACAATAGTACTCAAGAACATGTCGACGAGGTAATTAACTAATAACTTCAATTTAAGAATTACATTCTGTGAAAGACTTAACTTAATTATTATGTTGTTGTATTTTGAATAGGATGTGGCACTTTTGGTGGAGGGTTTGAAGTTTGTTCCTACGTTTATGTTCGAAAAAGATGTATCATACGAAGAGTTCCTTAACAGAGTTCATGCTGACGAGCTTTTCCTAAGATCACAAGGGCTTTGGGATATCCCTCATCCTTGGTTAAACCTCTTTGTTCCGGGATCTCGAATCTCAGATTTCGATATAGGTGTGTTCAAGGGCATTATTCTGACCCAAAATATCACTGCAGGCCTTGTGATAGTCTACCCCATGAATCGATCCAAGTAAGTTTTAAGAAATTAAGTAATTTGATTTAGTATGTATATGTGGAGTGAATACCTAATATAAATGCATGTAATTAATTCACAGGTGGAATGATAAGATGTCCGCAGTTACACCTAATGAAGATGTTTTCTATATTGTGTCATTTCTTCATTCATCTGGGTTTGATAAAGTGGAAGAATTTCAAGTTCAAAACCAACAAATATTAGGGTTCTGTGAGGATTCTGGTATTGGGATCAAACAATATCTTCCCCAAAACAAAACAAGGAAAGAATGGATGGAACAGTTTGGCTCCAAATGGAAAATTTTCCAGCAAAGAAAAGATCAATTTGATCCCAACAGAATATTATCACCTGGACAAGGGATTTTCAATTAAATACAAATTCAATGTAACATATTTTATTACTATATAGTTTAATTTGTTGTACAGTTCTTAATGAAGCAGTTTATATACTAGTATGTATGTATGTATTTTTTGTGTCATGAATATTTGAATGTCTGTATACGGCTTATAACCTGTGTTACGTAGACGTAGCAAATGAAAATACTGTCACTATATATTTCTATTCTGACATTATAATCAATTTACTCAATTGGCTTCTATACCAGCTTATTTTTCTTGACTACTGAGATTGTGTGTGAAATAGAATAAAGTGGGATATTTTTATCATCTGCGCCTTCTTTTAGAGAATTAAACTAACCATAATCTGTGTTGATATATACTCTTATTGCAAGTTACGAAAATCAAAATAGTATACATCATTGTTTATCAACTATTTAAAGAAAACGTGTTTGGATGTTTTCTTTTCCTTTCATTTCTAAGATATTGACTGGTTGTTCATTTAATGATTTCTTAATTTATATTCATAATGTTAGGAGTGAAAATTGAATCTATTCTCCAATTATAAAATTTAAAGCCAATCGAATTAGTTGAACTAAATCATTATTTATCAGTAGATTGAATATAGGTTCAAGGGACTAGTCTTACGAATCAGAGTAAAGATTGAATTTTATGTTATACAAAAACATTTTGAGTTTAATGATGTGTAATTTTTTTATGATGTTAATCAGTTAAAAATAATCATTAGTATAATTTAAGGTAATTATTAGTAATATAAATAAACTCAATATAAATAATATATAGTTCATAATAATATTATAAAATTGTTTTAATAGTAAATAGTTTAATTTCTTATATACTTTATATAAGTTCATTGGATATCACAATCCATAAAAAAAGTAGTTAATGGATAAGTTGATTTTTTTTCTAAAATAAATCATTGGTAAATTGATTTTTCAAATGCATTTTAAAGATATTATAAAAGAAGAATATCTTATTTTTAATTCACATATTATAATTCAACTCAATATTTATCCAATTATCCATGTGATACTCTAATTTTAATATGTCATATATAAGAAAATAAATCATTGTGTTATTTATTTTTATATATAATTAAGTTAATAAATATTATATGAATTGGTGTAAATTTTTTAAGAAAATGTACTAAAACATTTGAAATTCTCATTAATTATATATATATATATATATATATATATATATATATTTTATTGATGAGAATTTTGGTGTGTATTTTTATCTGATAAATTTTATCCTCTATGCATTTGTATGTACTCGTATATACCATTATATATATATAAAATGTTAAAGTATTAAATATAAATAATATATCAATCATAATTATCTAAATTAAAATAATAATATAATTTTTTTTCAAATAAAAAAAATCTTAATATTTAATATAAATAAAAGATAATAAAATAATATTTTTACTATTTCTTTTATTTTAATCTATTTATTTAAATTTAATATTCTTTTTTTCTTCTTTTATTTGTAATTTTTTTCATTTTCTTTCTTGTATAAGATAATTTCATTATTTTATTGTCATGTTTGCAATAAATCAAATAAGTTTTTTCAATATTTCTTCTTATACTATATTTTCTTGTGTGCATTGATACTCTTCTATTTAACCTTTAATAGGTTAAATTTACTTTTTTTTTTAATCTCATTCCACTTATTTTCATCCATAAAATATAATATGAAGAAGATATTTTCTTTTTAAAGTACTCATTTTTCTTTGTTTTATTATATTTAAACACAAGATAAATTTATGATAATTTTAAACTCCTTCAACTTTTGTACCTTTTTCAGCTCAACCTAAAACTTATCAATTTCATAATCACGATTTTTAAGTTTTTTTTTTCATAGTCTTGTTTTTAATCTTTAAGATCTCTTCAATCTTTTTTTTTTTCTCGAGACATATTTGTTATAATATTTCTAATATTTATTGTTTCATGGAATTTTGTTTTGCAAGACTGATGTTGACTTGATTACTATAAAAAAAATCAAATAATGACTAAAATTTCGATCACTAAATATTCAAATTTAATAACTGATATAAATAGTTACTGATCTTAGTCATTTATCCATATTGACCAAATTTGTAATTGATTTCAGTAATCGAGTCCGTAACTAAAATTAGTAAGTGACTTAAACAAATAATCGATTTGTCACTGAAATTAATGACCGAATCTATAACTAAAATTTGTGATCAAATCTATGACTAAAATCAATGATAAAATCTGTGACTAAATATGTAATTAATAATAATTTATTTTAAAATATTAAAGTAGTCACTAATCCATAACTATTTTTTTAATTATAAAACTAATAAATATATGAAAAAAATAACCAATATATTACATATAAAATTAGAATAAAACCAACTTATAAATATAAATCAAAATTTAAGAATTAATTACGTAATAACATAGTAAGTCAATTAATAACAAAGTCAATTAATCTTCTCTATTTTCTGTCATTCCTACGTATTCAAAATCTTAAAAAAAAAAGTCAAGAAGAACAAAATAAGCCTATCTTAATAAATTATAAGTGTATATCTTAAAAAAATTATAAAAACTAGTTCAATTTTATCTTGTGGCTAATTTTATTTTTATAATTTACTTATTTCAGTTTTATATTTAAAGATTAATATAATATTCATAAATAATTTTATATTAGAATAGATATTTCTACCATTGCAATACTTATCTAATTTATTTTATTATTTTTAACAATATATTTTAATTATTAAAAAAAATAATATAAAAGTATGACAATATTTTAACAATCACTTATTCTTACTGTGGTAAACAAATTGATATCGGTTTTCATAAAATTAAATTTGTACATACTTTGAAAAACATATAAAACTGAAATATAATTGAAAAAAATAAAAGCATCCACTACCAGTGAAGGAGTAGTAAGTACACCTAAAAGTCATACAAAATAATAAATAAGGACAAGTTGGTGCAATGGACACTACTTTTATTTGGATAAAATACATCACTATACTGTGAAGGGATGCCTCCACAAGAGAAGTCATAATAAGCAAAGCAAATATAGGTCCAAAGACAGAACAAAGAGGCATAAAAATAGAGAATTGCAATAAAAACAAAATAAAATATAGGATCTAATAAAAAAGAAATACAATAAACAACATTCTAAATCTACGTGCATCCAACTACCATTTATTATTTATTACACGCAGGACCCATAAACAAATAGAAGAGAGAAGCAAATAAGCCTATAGTAATGCGTTTGCCCCTGCATCCACTGTGCCCAAATGTATTGTTAAATAAGCTACGATTTTCACATTTCTATTTACATATGTAATTGTAACCCAAGAAAATATTTTAGTGAATTAATATCTTTCCAGATTTGGTCCTTCTTTCCCCAAGAGGAGAGAGAAATTATTAAGTATGGACATTCTATGAATTGAAACTATTAAGTATGGACATTCATACCTGATCAAATGACAAAAACGAGGGAGATTGTGAATATGATTTTTAGAAATCACTACTGAAAACTAAGGCTTGTGGTGAAACAGAATCCTAATTTCACTGGAATTTTGGATTAGGATCGATGAGATATTTGGACTTGGATTATGAAATAAATGGAACTCAATACCCTATATATATGACAATTGAAAATGACTGAATACTTTTCTTAGTGAGTTATTACTTGTGACTCTTGGAAAAGTGATCAAAGAACACACGAAAAGAATTTGACATTTGACATTTCAAAATATCATATAAACTATTCTTTTTTCCTTTTATTCATACCGTGATGATAAGAAGCATTGGACCAAATATCTCCTCACCCATTATCAGTAATCTCGCGGAACATTACAATAAAACAGTGGGAGCAATCCTTCTACAAATTTTAGGATAATAAAAAATCATAATAAAAAACCAATGTCAAAATTTATTGCAGTTTGTTAATAAAAAATCTGTCAGATGTTTAATTATAAACAGATCAAGCGAGCTTACCATTTCTTTTCACCTTCATAAACAATCTTGACAAAAACCTTATCATCATTCAAAAACTTGACAAGCGATACTGTGATTGGAACTTACAATTTGAGACAAATTCTTTTTGTAACACGCTTCCAATTCAGTCTTGGGGCATTCACCTAGAAATAAGAGCCATCAAACAATAAATAAGCAAAGAATGAATTTGTTAGTGGTTAAGGTAATAGCAAATAAAATTGATAAAGAAAGGACAATGAAAAAAAAAAAGAGAAATAGAGATTTGACACAAAATAGTAAACACAACAATTTAGTCTAGTCGAAACACACCGTTTAGAGAGGAAAAGAAATCAAATTGAAGAGAAAGTAAAAGGATTAACGAGAGAAAGACAACTATGGGTGTCAGAGCATGGAATATTGACTCACAATCTTAATACTGAGATAGGTGTTGGCCGACAGTCGGAGAGCTCCAAGGGGACAACCATGGTGGTGAGGACGCAGATGACCTTAACAGTGGCCTTGTGGAGGGAGTCGGAGACGACGGTTGGGTGGATGCTCTCGAGAAGGATGCCAATAATGATGACAACCGCCGTGGTGTCTTAGTGGTGGAGTCTTTGACTTGGAGTGGTCGTCGGGCATCATTGAGAGTGTGACACACAGCGTTAGGTATTGGTTATTGTAGAGCGAAGATCCTACAAAAACCCTAAATTAGAAAAATGAAAAAAAGTAGGGGAACAGTAAATCCGTTAATTTGAAAAAAGAAAAAGGGTGGGGGATAGAGATTTGCAATTTTTGTTTTATATGGAAGTCCATTGGTTTTTTTCACTTTTTTTTATTTCTTATTTTTTAAAATGATTTATTTAAGCAAACAGCTAGTAATTAATATATTTTATATGAATAGTGTTAGATATTTTATATATTCAAGATATTATAAATATTATTAGTTTCAAATATATGTATTTATCATATTTATAATTTTTAATTATAAATATATTACGCTATGAGTATTTTAGACACAAGGAAAATAATCTTATATCTAAATTT